GCTTGCTAGGTATACAGCTGTCCTGTTCACTGCAATGAGACGCGATGTGCGGGAACTGATCCGGCATGAAGTGGATCGTGAACAGATCCCCCCTGAGTCCAACTACCTTGCCACTTTGCGCCGCAAGGGGCCACGTGGGTCTGGTCAGAATGCAAAGAAGGGCAAGACGGCGCCAACGCCACGTAATGTCTCCAAGCGGTCCAAGCGGCACTTGAAGCGACCTGCTGCCTCACCCAGGAAGTGAGGTCGGTGGGACAGAAGTGCAGTCATATCGGCATTTTCCGTGCAGTGGCACAGGGCCACTTGTGTGCAAGTGACCCACGGGGTGTTCTTTTTGTTTGGGAGAGGGCTCAGCTAAGCTGACGTCGCCTGTTGGGCGGGAAGTCCCTGAAGCCATCTCTCTTCTTTTTGCGATTCCTTGACTAGATCTTTGACCTTGGACCTTGGCTGTTTCCTTGTTCTGGGTGGTTGCAGTGAGCAGGACTGTCATCAGGGTTAAGGGTTCAGTGTTCAGCAAGTTTTGCTCGTATTATGCTGTCAAGAGTCGAGGAATCAAGAAAGCTGCGATGTGTTGTCTTTGGCGGTGTCCTGTAGTGCTGTTGGGGGCACTGGGACCTGTGTGTGCCTGGTGCAAGATCTGGCACGCCTCTATTTCTATCGCAAGCTTCTTAACTTCAAGGCCCAAGGCTGGCGTCATACTGGGGTGTCACGTCAATGAACCACAGACCTCCCTGAGGCAGCTTAAGACTGTGTCACCGCTTCGGTTGTTGCGATGTTGCATTTTGTAAAATGGGGTCAAAGGTCAAAGGTAAGTAAGGAACGGTTAAAGTCAAAGCAACCGATTCAATTGAGAACAATCTTAGCTTAGCCGAGAATCTTACCCTGCACTGGCCTCACAGATCACTGCGTACATGACTAGGCTAGACTACTAGTACTACTAGAAGACTTGAAAGTGCAACTGCATTTTGGATGGAATGCTTGGTTTTCGTTGCCCTCCAGCAAAGCTCTAACAATGAGAGACTCAGAGACTAGGACAAATTGAACTAGGACTCAAGGCAGGCTATTCGGATACCTACCTAATGTTATTGTGGCCTTGATGACCTGGACTGGACAGTTTGTAGCATTTGGAAATCGAATTATCGAATTGTAGTTTCTTTTGACCTTTCACCCATGTGACAAGTCACTGGTTCACAATTCCGTATGTCGCCTTTTGCCCTTTGCAATCCACCCTCATCCCCTCATATTCCTGTAGTCCTATAGTCTTCATAAAGTATTCATGGCTAGACAGACCTGACCTCAGCCTCAGCACGTGCTGAAACAAAGTGCAACGTTGCCAATGCCAACTCTGCACATTGTGGGACCAAACTGATTGACCAAACATGGTCCGATCGTTTGGCAGTTCTTTCAGCGGTTGTTTGTTGCCTCAAGTGGTCTTAATACCTGAAGCTTGTTGCTGCAAGTTGGAAAACAGAGATAAGTCAGAGATATGGCTGATAAGGTCAGGTCAAACAAGGTCAAACAAGGGCAGCTTTTTTGGTTGTGTTGTGTGATTTGTATGTCTGTTGTTTGTTATGTTTCTTTGTTCGTGCCTTGTCTAGCATTGCGCCGCTGCTTCACAGGGCCAAATGCTGGAAATGCGAGAAAAGGATGAGACACAACCAGCAAACATGTTGTCCAGGGTCTAGAGATGTGCGTGATGATTAGGCGGCTTAAAGGGGTGCAATAAATCAACCGTATGTATGGCGACTTGATGATATTACTTTTTGGATCTTTGTGAGTTTTCTTGAGCGGTGCCTGTTCTGTGTCTTGGCGACATGGCTAGCTCCGGTGGCGCTCAGTGGATGCCTTTTGAGGATGGACCTTTGACAATAGAAGAACGGTTCGTTTCCCAAGGGCGGAAGCGGCAAGATGAAGTGTGGAAAATCTACGTCCAACAGGACTCTGTGCAAGCTCCCTTGTTTGATTCAGAAGGCCGGCCATATTCATAACTACCCGTTTTTGTAGCATTCATTCAACTTCAGCTTCATTTTCTGTTCTGTAGACAACCAAGCCAAAGCAACCAAGCTTTCTCGCATGTTTGTGCACAGCGTGTAGTGTAAGCCGTGCGTAAGTATAGTGCTGGAGTCAGAGTATTTTTTCTGCATGTTTGTAAAATTTGTGCCGAAGGTCGGAAAATCTTTGTGCGGCACAAGCTGAACAATCGAAGCGAAGTTTCCCATCGCGAGAAACTGAAAGAGATGCTCAAGACTTATGGGTTCGCACGAGGAGCCACATAGTTGCAAGATGTGATCAAAATCCATACAGAGTTTTTTCTCAAGCAGCAACGCTGCAGCAACATGTTTGTGGCTTTTCCGTTACAGGTGTGTTATGTAAGCTGACAGAGTAAAGGTTTTCCACCAGACCAGCATCTTCCGCCTTCCGCTTCTCTTCACTTGTGTGCCCAAGGTCCGTGGATCTGCATGGGTCGTGACCAGGAAGAGGCCGGAGGCTGCATCCACAGATCTCTCTGGTGGTCATTGGACAAGTGGAGTTGAGCTGCAGATGATGACGTCTGCAACATTGATTGAAGCACTTTATGATGCCGTTGATGAGTGGCTGCGGGAAAAATCCAAATCTAGCATTGGTGAGCTGAACGAACAGGCCTGCTTTGCAACGTTATTTTTACAATATATATATATATATGGTTTTGATGTATGAGATTGTAGCATAAGTGAGGGTATCAGGGTATCTATATTTGTTGTTTTGTGTAATTTATGATTACAGTATATATATATATAGAGTAATTACATGTGAAATGTGTAATGTGATCGTTTAATTGTTTACTGTTTAGTTTTATATTGTCGTGCACTTGATCCCTGGGATACAGCTTACCTCTTCACAACTCTGCTGTTCCTTCTTCACTCCGCCATGCGATCAATTTCCCTGTCATCCTGTCAGGAAAAGGCTGCTTTCTACGGCACACAAATTGGGCAAAGCGTGGCAGAAGGGATATCCAACATCACTGTTTTTCACGAGCGCACACCGACAGACGTGTCCTCAGTGTGGAGTGGTGGGTTGTGTTTGCTGTTTGCGTGTTCGCGCCAGTGCCAGTGCCACATTTCTTCATGTTCTGGAAGTCTCACTGAACTCTTCAAGTTCTCGAGTCAGTTCTTGAGTCTTTTTAGCCGCTTGTGCAAGAACAGCCAAGGATGTCTTGGAATGGTTGCGTGACTGGGGCAATTTGTTCAACAAGGCAGCGTCAAAGGCATCCTTTGTGGAACATCTTCAATCTTTGGAGAAAATTGAGCCTGCGCTTCAAAAACATTTGCAAACTTTCGAGCCTCCTGTGACCTCAACACACAAGGACTTTGAAAAGATTTGCAAAGCCTTTATTGACAACAAATTCCCTGGGCGATTTCAATCATACCGGGAACTTCAATCGGCAACGGCTTTTCGGAACAGGATGGAGGAGCATTCTTTGTTCAGGAGGTTCATCTGCTGGAGCAACAGTCAAGTGAACTTCGAAGCAGCTGGTGACATGGACCCTAGTATCATCTACAAGATCCTGAACGTCACCACTCGGAAGCTATTAGCCTTTGCACCCAGCCCAAAAGGAAAGCATGTGGGGAAGCAGAAGGCGGGTCACTCGAATCAAGAGCAGGGCAAACCCATTGAGGAGGCCAGTGATCTGTGCACATGGGCAGACTTGACCATGGCAGTGCTGAAGTTTGCTGTGCCGACCGCCTCTACTGCCCAGGGCTCATCCTATCCACATAGCCTCAGCAAACTTGCGGACCTGGAAAAAACTCGACATCTTCATCCAGCCTATGCAGGGAAGCAAAGCCTCGAAATTGCCACAGTCACTCAAAGAGGCTCGGGAAAAACAGGAAGAGAAAGATGCGAAGAAAAGGGAGAAGGCGGAGAAGAAGGCCAAGGCCAAGCCAAAGGCCAAGGGGAAAGCCAGTGCTTCTGCAAAGAGGGGACCGAACGCTTTGGATGAGATCGAAGAGTTCACTCCAGACATGATTGACATCAATGGGCAGCAGCGGCAAACCCTCTTTGGAGATGATGTCCTGAATGCTATCAACTATACCCTTGAACGGGTTCCTGGTCGTGATCGCCGCAAAGACTTTGTGTCCCAAGCGCTGGATTTGAGTGTCCACTTTGCCCTTGAGGGAAATTTGGAGTCTGCTGGCATTGCAAAGATCACCGCATGGACCCGCGCCAGGCAGCACATCAAGGGGTTGCTGAACCGAGCGCATGCCCTGAAAGCCAGGATGTCCGACCCTGACAAGCCTGCTGACGAGCACGGCACACATGGTGGTGACCATCGCAATGCTGTGGCCTTGGGTGATGATGAGGCTGATGAGGGTAGTGACTGCCAGCGGCACTTGGTGTGCGTGCTCAAAGCTTTCAATGAGAAGGCTGTCCTTTCCTTCGTTGATGCGAATTTCAATTTCAGCGAATGTGATGGTGACCTGTCGGATGAGGAGTCGGTTCAAGTTCCTACACTAGCCACTGCCATGGACACACACCCCGGAATCATGCTGGTGGCCAACAAGGTGAAGAAGCAAGTGCGATCGAAGGTTTTGGATATCACTGCCAATGACGTTGAGAAAGGCAACTTGTTGATGGAGTTCATCTTGGAGATCCTGAAAGCCGTGAATGCTACCTTCGAACCAGCTTTTCTGGATGTGGCGATCTCGCTGTGCGCTGTGTCACAGGCAGTGAGCCTTGACTTTGATGATTTGCCACTTGACTTGACAGGACAGCAATTTTGCTAAATGAAGTTTCAAGCATCTCAAGCAACATTTGGAGTCGTTTCAAAAACTGAAAACTGTGCAGCGCAATTGATGTTTGATGTTCAGTTGTGCGCTGCTTGTACAGTGCTGGCATTTAAACCCCCTCGTGGCGCTTACTTAATGGCCAATCTCTATTGTTGTCGTTGGCATTCGCGGCTCATCCATTCACCCTGGAAATTCACTCCCCCAGCTAATTTAAGGTTGCCTTCCTTGAGCGGAATGCCTTCGTTGAATTCCCACCGAAAGCTTGTCAAGTCTGTGCTGACAGCGTTTGGTATGAAGCGATGTCATGCCCTGACATTTGCTGGGCATCGCGCTGTCTATGTGCTTGGTGGGCTTCAAGCAGCCAAGGAAACGCTAGAGTCTTTGCTCTCCAAGTTGAATGAACCGCCGACCAAGAATGCCATCGCGAAAGTAGCAAATGACATGTCGAAGGGTCTGGCTGTTCTACGGCAAATGGTCAAGCAAATTTCATCGATGGATTTGGAGTTTGTCGAAACACGGCTTTGCGTGCGGGCGGGCCAAGGTTTGTTATGTTTGTTGTTCTGGGTTGGGAGGATCAGACCGGGGTTGGGACGTTTTGGAGTGGATGGAAGGGTAGAGTCGTCGTAGAGTCGTAGAGTTGAAATCATCATCTAAATCTAAGGAGGCTCATTGCTGGGCAACATCCACTGAAGACCAGCGGAAGGAGTTCTTGTCTGCTTGGGCAGGGATGTGGCGAAACATGGTGCAGAAGGTCAGCAACATCGATGCTTCCCGTTCACACCGAAGCCAAGAAGATTGGGAAGATTTTGCGGCTTCTGAGAGCAAAAAGTTGTACAAGTTGAACGTGAAGACTTTGGCTCAAACTTTGGCTGCGTCTGTGCCGGATCTCATTGCCCAGCTCAACGGCCAGGGGACACTCCCAGATGGTTTTCCATCCGAATTGGTTGATCTGCTTCCGTCTGATTCTTCTCCAACTCAAGAGTCACGGCCTCAAGAATCCAAGGAGGAGACGGAGAACGAGAAGATTGAATCGAGCTTGAAGACCGTTAAGAAAGACTTGTTGGTGAGAGGCTTGGTCGCGCTTCACACCCAAGAAGCAAAATGTCAGGAAGCGGCGAATTGTGAGTTGTGGGAGAACCAGGTGAAAAAATGCAATTTCAATTGACGCTGGAGACATTGTGGGGTTGGCTGACGGTCAAACTGGTGAAGGTCCTGGAATATGTGACAATACTTGGTTGCCATTCCCAAGCGCTGACGCAAAAGTCAGCAAGCATTGGGAAGCTCACCAGGCAGCTTCACTTGCCACGTGGGCCATTTTGTGCGCTTACACAAAATCCCCTTTGCCAGCTGGCATTGAAGTTGAGAATGCTGAATCCTTCCGCGACCAAGGGTTCTTGACTCTTTTGCTTCAATCTGTTTTCTGGTTGTCGTTGTTTCTTTGTGCTTATGGCTGTTAATGTACATTTGAACGACGGTGTTGTTTCTACGCCAGCAGAGGTTGACCTATGCCGGCATCTTGAAGAAGAAAGTCACGATGCGGCGCAAGGTCGAGGACGATGGTCTAGGCCCGACGAGTGACCTTCGCTGGAACGAGGCTGTGGCAGCGCTCCGCATGTGCTTTGCAGGTCGTTGTGTAGTGGTGCCTCGTGGACAGCCAGTCTCTGCTTTTAAGATCAAGGTCAGAATCCCGTCTACGTTCTTCGAGAACTTGGGCTATGATGCATACATGATTCCCATCACCAAGCAGCTCTCCCCCGAGATGTCACTGAAAAGCCCACTTCTGTGTCCAGCTTGGTTGGTGAAAGGAAAGTCGAAGGGCACAAACATGATCTTTGATCAGGTTGATGTAAAGGTTCGCTTGTCCAGAGGCAGTCTCATAGACCTTGGACTTCCAGCTCTTCGGCTCATCCGACCGGAAGAACTGGTCATCGCCAATGTCAAAACTCCGGGCAGCAGCAAAGGGGAGGACTTGCTATGGGCTGGCTTTGATTTGTCCCGTCCATTCACACATATCGAGGTTTCAGAGGGTGCTGCCAAGAATGAGGCAAAGGTGGCCAAGGATCAGCGCCGCAAGCAGCGTGCAGAAGCTTTTGAGGAAGTCTTTGACGGGGACGGGGACGAAGTGACCCCTGCGGATGGACAATTGCTTGTGCCCGCCTCCTTCGTGAAGCATGTCTTGCGTTGACGTGGTTGATACAGTGATGTGAGATGTGATTTTCACTTTGAGGGTCTCAGGTGGTCTCAGGGTCTGTGGAATCTGAATCTTTGGGGGGCTGATTCCGCAGTGTGCGAGACATGTACAGTACAGTACAGTGTTGCATAGTGTGTTGCCGGGCATACGCCATAAGCAACCAACCGACCAACCAAAAGTATCATATACATATACTACATATACTTGACAATTTCGGCCGATTTCCAGCATCTTGCCAAATTTTATGGCCAGTTTATCGCTACGTCGCTACGGCAGTGCATGAAAAAGATGCATTGCATCAGGCAGGCTGGCCGAAACACTCAGTGTCCACTTGGAATGCAAGCAATGCAGCAATGAATCTCCAATTTCTTACCCGACCCTCCGTTCTTGTTGGGTTTGTTTTGTTGGTGTGTTTTCTGGCCAGGCTGCTAGACACAGTGTACTGAGTATAGACAGTACACTCAGTACAGTCAAAGTGATTCACTGGTTTTTTCATGGGTGGTCTAGTGCAAAGCACTGACATGTTCTCGGTGTTCGAAACCCGAAAGCGGAGTGAAAAAACATGTTGTCACTTTTGTCCGTTCTACAAGTGTAAATCCCCTCACTTACTTAAGCGTTACGGTCTGCAAACGGGGTTCAAGTTACTAGTAAAGCAACAACGGTCCATGAACAAATACGAACAAGTACATTGCTGCGCAACTCTATTTTCAAAGCGTCTACCGTCTACATGAGTACTGTGTGAGGCTCAGGCTAAGTGACGCCTCCTATGCGGAGCACGCAACCTTACCCATAAAGTTATCTCTTCAAGCTTCCAGTGATGTGCGTACTGGTACATTGGTAGCGGATCATAGACTCCGGCGGCCAACCGCGTCAAACGCCGGAGTTTGGTAGTGATCACTAGGCACCATGGAACCATGCAGGTGTCCACGTACCCACTTTTTGAGCATTGATCCTGATGCTAGTGCAGTCGGCCGCCAGATCATGGCCGAACCTGACGATGCAGACTTGATCATGCAAGCAGTTATGGGACCAAATCACCCAACACAGTTCTGAAACTTTGCTGGACACATTTTGAGGTGTGACGGAGCAACTGAGTGTTGTGCGTCAAGACGCATTGTGGGCTCTGCAGAATTGCAGTATTCGATGAAGAAGAATGCAAGCCAGGCCAGGCTCTTAACTGTGAATGAGGTAGTTAAGCTACATTTGCAGGTGATGGCAGCCGTACCATTCTCGATAGGGTTTTTGCTTCGCATGCATTAATGGCCTTATACGCAAGAGCCAGAAAGTCCGACTTTGAGCATCTCGAGGAAGTTTTGCATGACACCAACTCTCAAGGAGGGTATGTGCAGCTCAACACAAGGCATCAAAAGGGCGCAAGGACAGCTGAGAAGAAGGCCTTGTTGCTTCCGATTGTGATTTCTTCTGAGGGTGTCAAAGACCCATCGTGGCTGTTCTTTTGAATCCAGAACAGAAAGGAGCATCCAAGGCCCATTGCAGCACCGAGGTAACCTCTTCGCCAAGGGCCTTGTTGGGGGTTGACGACAAACAGTTGAGGAGCCATTCTCTGAAAGCGACAACGCTATCGTGGTTGGCGAAAGCCGAGATTCCTCGTGAACATCGTCGCGTGCTTGGTCGCCAAGTCGGCGCCCTCCTTCATTGCCTGTTCTGGGGCGTCAACGACACCTTGGTCCACATTCTGCGTGACCAACACAGGGTTGCGTGGCTGGAATGCACATGGCATAGGTGTCCCAGGAACAAGAGGGTTTGTGCCACTGGAAAAAAAATTTGCACGAGTTGCGTCAGGAAAGAACACGCTATCCTTGATCAAGCATATCACTCTTTCCAATGCTCTTACTGGAGCATACGCCAGGTCGACACGGCATCTGACCCTTCTCGACAGCGTCGCTGTGGCGCGCGCTGCACAAATGTCTCCATTGGCGATCATTGAAGTCACGAGCTCATCTGAGTCAAGTACCTCGACCTCAGGCTCTGAAGGAGTGATGTCGGACTAGGACAATGAAGCGAATTGGGCAGGTGCTGATGACCTGCCAAAGCCAGTCGAGAAACAAGCTGTCGAAGATTATACATTGCTGTCCGGGTCTGATGCAATGCAGCGGCTCGGATGTTGCCGGCCAATGGGAGATCGTGAATGGCCACGTGACCAAGTGTGGCAGAACCATTGACCCTCGCTTTGAGATTGTCGCCGAGATCAGGGATTGGACAAAGAAGCGTAGGACGTGTTACAAAAACAACAGGGGTCCAACCAAGCTCTGAGCTGGTAGAGAGTCTGGACAGGCGTCCGAAACGTCGACATTTAGGGAGCTCCTGCTGTCAGGCTGCTTGTGACGCAGCTGGTGGCCAACCTTGTTTTGGCAGATTCACCTAGAGAGTTTTTGCCTCCAAAGGAGGAAACAACGACTGTGACCTGCAGGTTCAGGTTGAAAAAAAAAGGAACCATCTGATACGTGTGTATCACTAAGCTCATGTG